CCGTCTGCCAGCGCTGGGAGGGGGCAGAGCCGCAGGGGCACATGAGGCCAAGCGGAAAAGAAAAGGCCTTCTTGCATCCCTTTCCCTTTGCATTTCAACTGGAGAGGCTGTGAGAACCTCTTTTGTGAATCCTCAGTGCATAACTGCATGCTTCTGCATGCTTGGAGCCATCCTGCAGCTCAGTCCCTGCCTGGATGAGGCCACGAGGGCAGCGTGCGGCTGCAGGGAGCCTGCCAGCCCGCACAGAAGTTTCCTTGTCGGCTCTTCCCTGCCAGAGAAAAAGCTGCGATTTCTCAGGCGGAAAAGAGGAGACGCATCCCTGTTTGCCAGCCAGGAGAGGGTCATGCCAGGCTGGTAAAAATTAATACGCTTATAAATCAATCTGGATCACCTTGCAATTTGTTCTGACCCTTGGGCAGTGGCCAATTATGTCCAAAACAATCTCCCACAGGGCAATTAAGGGCTTGGCCACTGCACTCGCTAACAGAGCCCGAGACTGCCAGGCGTGCTGGGGGCTGGACACGGAGAAGGCTTTGCATCCCCAGCCATCCTCAGCCTCCACTAGGACACTGCAACGGGCTGCACCAAAATGAAGTACTTGGAGGAAAACACACACGTACATCTCTAAATGCACCCCCTGCATGGTAAGCCCTGTCTGGGATGTTTGTGGGTTTTTCTCTTCCGTCCGCAGTGCTTCACAGCTGTGGCTCAAACTCAGGGTCTCCCTGGGCCATGGGGAAGGCAAGTGTGGGGCTGGGCGGACAAGCAGGTGACAGCAATGGCAAATGGAGAGCCACCCGGGCACTGCTGGCCTGCACTGCTCCACCACATCAGGGCAAAGAAGCAAGATGGGAAAGCAAGCAAGGAGCATATGGGGCAGAGCACCACAGCATCCTCCCTGTCCCTGTCCCCGTACGCAGCCGCCTCATCGTAATCACCGCAGACAGCCTGTCACACCCGCTCCCGTCATGCTGATGGCACGGACAGCGGCCCGGTTGCCCTGGCCCACCCG